ATCGTCGGTGTCCTGATCCACCCAGTGCAATTTCGTCCAATTCTCCTCCTCCGCCATGCGGACCGCTTTCATGCTGCTGCTCAGCTGCGACGAGGGGTCCTCGGAGCTCTTGACCGAGAGCTGGATGGCGCGCGCTTCTTGCTTTACCGGGTGGAGGGTTTTATTGGCGGCGCGCTCCAGATCGATTTGCGTGTCGATGTGGTGGAATTGGGGGCGGAGTTGGAGGGTGGAGGTTATGGGTGTTAGGTAGAGTTTGTCTGTGCGATGTTTGGTAAATCATCTCTACAGGGTATTAAAAAGTGGTCGGAGGGTGGTGAGTGGGTAGGTACCGTTCTTGAATACCCCAGCCATATACTTTGTCCCATCTGGCTGGATCTTACTGCCAAGCGTCTGGCGATTGAGAACCCGTCCAGCTTTGACCGCAGCCGCAAGATCCATATACATTAGATCCTCCCCCCCCTCCCCTTCCTCCTCCTCTTCATCATCCTCCCCCCGCAAAGTCTTTCTCCTCTTACCCCCAACCCCACTACTCGTACTGCCACCTCTACCACCACCGCTTTGCGCCTTACCAGCCTCCTTCTCCGCCTTCCGCATCGCATCCCCCCATACGCGCCCCTTCTCCTCATCATAATTCACATGCACATTAACCGGGATGTCAACCTCCACAAGTCCGGACTTTGGCTTGAACCGCGCCTCGACAGGACAAGCGTTGCGAGCTTTCGTGTACGGCTGTTCGCGAGGTCGGACGGGGTACTGGAAGATGTACAGATCGCGGAGCTGCGAGGTAGTGATCTGTATGTCGTACGTTTGGACAACGGGGTCCTCATCCGCGGTGTCTTCGCCACAGGAGGTGTCGTCGTCTTCGTTGTGAGGCGGTGGTGGTTGGGCCGTGGTTGGCTTTGGAACGGGTCGGGGGGCCGGTGTCGGATCTGTAGCGGTAGCAGCGGAAGGAGGGGGGATAATCTCTACTGATCCGTTATTGCTAGCTTTATCGTTGTCATCGTCGGAGGAGGATGAGTCACTGTAGCCCGGTAGGAAGAGTGGGTTTTCGGATGAGTTGGGTGGTGGTGGGGCGCCGGCTTCTGCTGTTGGAACTGTGGGTGCTGCTACTTCTATGGATTGGGTGGGCGCTTCGGCAGAGGTGGCTGCGGCGGCTGGGCGGGACCTCGCGGCGGATTTATTCGGTCTGCGTCTTGGTGGCATTGTGATGGTTGGCGGCGGTGGTTGAGAGAAGGTTTGAGTCAAGTTATGATACTTGTGCTTGTAGTGATGACTGACTTTGAACCCGCCGGAAAAACTTTGTTGCGTAAGTTTAAGCCTCAGCGGTGCTGCATGGAATACCCTAAAGTTGAAACGGTGGCCAGCGTTCGCTCCAGTCTATGATACCGGTATGATAGCTCATGCGAACGGGGGGGTTAAAATAAATTACCCATACAGATATGATGTCTAGTATCCAACTTATAATACAAAAAGTCCCACCACACAGATATTTACTTTTCGGTCGGGAGGAATCACTTGGTTTTACCTTTCCCCTTCAACATTTTCTGCGCAAACTTCTTCCCACCCTTTCCTTTAACCTTCGCGGCGCCTCCCTTCCCTTTACCTTTACTTTTAGAAGTCCTATCCGCCTTGGTCTTCTTATAGACCCTCCCTTCCTCAGCCTCCCCCCTCCCCTCCAACTTCTTCCTCTTCTTATTACTCAACTTGACCTTCTTCTCGGGCAACTCCAACCCATTCAACTGCGCCTTGCTAGCCTTCCCGCGCAGTTCCTTCTCCCTCTGCGTCTCGAACCAGGTCCTCTTCGGCCGACTCTTGATCTCGTCCTCATGCTTAATCAGATTCTCGCCCTTGCGCAATTGCAATTCCGCGGACTGTAGCTGCTTCTCCTCCCTCTCCTCCTTGAGAATCTCTTCAATCTCGTCGTCCAACTTCTTGATATCCTCGCCTAGCGCATCGACACTGTCTACATCTAGGATCCGGGAGACAACCTTGGCGGATTGGGATTGAGCAGTTTTGACGGCGGCTTTGACAACTTTACGGTCTGCTTCTGCCGCTAGTGTCACCGCGCGACCTTGGCGTCCGGCACGAGCGGTACGGCCTACTCTATGGAGGTAAATTTCGTGAGATTGGGGGGCTTCGTAGTTTATCACCACGTCTACACCCTTGATGTCTAGACCGCGTGAGGCAAGGTCGGTGGCTAAGAGGAAATCCGCTTTTCCATCACGGAAAGTTTCAACCGCCCTGACACGCTGTTGCACATTACTAGATTAACACCAAATTTGTAGAAGGATAGAAAAGTAGAGGTTCACCTGCTCCTGACTCAAACTCCCATGCAGCTCTGCCGCCTTGAGCCCGAAAAGGCCAAACACAATCCTCACCCTATGCGCGAAGACTTTGCTCCGGAAGAACACAATAGTCCTCGCGGTGAAATATTCCCTACATATAAACACCAACATGGCAAGACGAAGGTGCTCCCTTTGCGGCCTGATCCTGATAAACTCCTGCACGAGTGTCTTGACAGTGCTAAGCTTCGTATCGACCATGATTCTGACAGGCCTCTGCAGGGAAAGTCGAATGAGTTTGTCAACGCTATCCGTCATGGTAGCAGAGAACAACATCGTCTGCCGGCTTTTGGGGATGGCATTGATGATCTCGTTAAGTTCGTCGGCGAATCCGTCCTCGAGCATACGGTCTGCTTCGTCCATTACTACTATCTCAATACTCTCGACCGAGAAGCCCTGGGAGTTGCGCATGTGGTCGATGAAACGGCCGGGTGTGGCGATTACCACATCGGGGCGCTTTTTGAGATCGGCTTCCTGGACTTTTAGGGAGAGACCTCCGACTGCCAGGGCGAATTTGATATCCGTGTATGCGGCTAGTTTCACCGCGACGCTGTGCGCTTGCATCGCCAACTCACGGGTTGGGCAAAGAATGACAACCCGGGAGATCGGGATTTTCTTCGGGCGAAAGAGTAGACGTTCGAGAATTGGGACTACGAACGCTGCGGTTTTACCGGATCCGGTGACTGCACCTCCCACAACGTCTTTACCCAACAGCGCAACTGGAATTGTCTTCTGCTGGATCAGCGTCGGAGTATTGAACCCGATATGCGCAAGACCACGGAGGATTGGACGGGAGAGGCTCATCTGCTGGAAGTTGGCAGAGGCACTACCATTAACACTAGCATCTTTCTCCTCCGGGGCGAAGAACGCAGCCTTCTTAGCAGCCTCCTCAGCATCTTCCTCTTCCGAATCGCTGTCGGAGGAGACCTCGTCTTCAGGATGGGGAACTATCGAAGCCACCGACTCTTCTTCCGAATCTTCCTCCTCTCCCCCATTCTCATTCTCCTCATTCTCTTCATCCCCATAAGAATCCTTCCCAGAGTCAGATTGACCCCCAGCGTCTGAACCCTCCTCCACAGCACCCATCCCAAACCCATCCAGTGCAAGATCCTCATCGTTAGATTCAAACCCAACAAACTCCACCTCCTCTTCAGTCTCCCCAGTTTCCTCCACCTCCACCTCACCCCTCCTCCTCCGGATAATATCATCAACATCAACCCACCGTTTCCCGTTCCTCATCGCCTCCCGGACACCTTCAAATCCCCACCCATCATACTCCCCAACACCACCCCCCTCCCCGCCACCCATAAACTCGAAATCCGAGTCGAGCCCTCCGTCATCCTTTGCCTTCTTGTTCTCTCTCTCGTCTCCAGTAACAAGCCTCTTACGCTTCCTCCCGCGCTTAGAGACATCATCAACAGCCTCGGGCGCAGTAGGTTTATCCCTACCAGTAGTTTCCACGTCGAAGTCATCAAAATCGAGGTCCGGGACGTCCTCGTCCGAGTCGGAGATTGTCATTACAAAGTCATCCATTGCCGGGTGTTCCTTTATCGGAAAATTATTTTTTGCGCCCGTGGCGAATTCGGTGCGGCTCGGGGTGGCCTTCGGCGGCTTTGAGCGAGGCATTGTGGGGCAATTGAGTTGGGGCGAATTATTTGTTGCCGCAGCCGGAAATTGCGAGGGTTTGAACTGTTTTTTTGCGCACCAGAGATCCACCCCAAATGAACTAACCCGCCGTCAGACAAACTCCCAGGGCAGGGTAACTTCATCACCCCCCATCACTCCCTTGCCCCCAACATCAGAGCATCTCACTCGCACTCGCCGCTGCTAAGGTTGGCTAGCGGAGAAAACCCTTATGCCCCTTCAGCAAACATCCATAAAACAAGGGAAGAATGAACAACTAGCTAACAATCGAGCCAGAAAAAGATAAAAAGGAAATAGGAAAAAGTATAGCAACAGCACGTTTCGATCGTGCGTCCTCCGGGTTATGAGCCCGGCGCGCTTCCACTGCGCCATGTTGCTGTGAAATGGGAGTAGATTCGCCCGGGAGTCGAAACCGGGTCGGGTGCAAGCTGGATGGAATGACAAGCGCCCACGATACCCCTACACCACCATACCAGGTGTCGATTTATTAGTTTTTTATCAACTTGAACTCAGTTGGATGGAGTTTGTTAAGATGTGAGGGCCAGGTTAGTGGGATGACACGGTTGGCCAGCCCAGCAGGAGTGCCAATGATATTTCACGAGTGCGATTGGGAGGGTGTAATGTGCTAGAAGTTTATACCTGCAAACCTTTCTGGTCACTTCAATCTAGTCTTGAGAATTAGGGAAATTAGGGACATGTATGATAGTCCCATCGAATCTCAGGGGAGATAGAACAATCAAAGCAACAGACAGTCCCTGATTCGGCCAGAACCAAAACCTACAGTGCTAGAAATTTGTGCGCTACGGATGGGCAAGAATTGCGGGGTGGCCTCCTTGAAGAGAAGGAAAAAAAAGGACGTATCCCATATGGTGGTACAACTCTTTGCCTGTGGGCTTTCTCAACACCATTCCTTGGGACTCATCCTACGCACCGTCCGCAAGCTGCCCATGGTGCTCTATCCAGATCAGGACTACTCACTCAGCAATACAACCCTCCCCCCTACGGCCAAGCATCCATACCTGAAAAAAATGTGAAAATCCTCAAGAGCCATTTTGGATTAGGGAAGAAACAAAGAAGGAAGAAGCAAGGAAAATATGGCGCGCTCATATATGGTCGCTAGATAACCCCACACAGATAGAGGTTGCCTCCACAGAGCTCGGATAGAATCACACGTAACGCAGAGTACAGGATTCATCCCATCGCAATTACCTTACATACACCTCGAGGCATGAGCACGGAGATTATTTCTGATCGATAGCGCATATTTTGCTGCGTTATGGTACCTGATCATAAGCGGTGATAATATAAGGGACCCATCCTTAGGTAACACCTCATTTCAAACTACTCGTACTTTAAAGGGGGTAATTGTTACTGCGGATATTGCTTCAGGAAACCGAGTGACTTTATGTAAGACTGATGCGGATTTGAAGAAACCACTCCTCTGTTATGATTACACATTTTATATTTCAGACAATGAAAGTAACCGTACAGATACATATCATAGCAAACAGAAGCCTTGTCCCTGAAAAAAATCAGACACAAAAAAACCAAATTAAAACGAGCATGTAATCCTATGCTCCAACCCATAGTACTAACCGCAGAAAATCATCCCTCAAGACCAATAGCACCTGGAAGATTGCTGATGGGAACTCGATTCCCACCCAATTTGGCCGGTGCCAAAGATGCGGAGCTTCCCAACTGACAGCTCCGAGGCGCGCGATACCGGTCGCTTGGACTACTATAATACGGGCTTGTAGAAGGTGTGGAATTGTTACTTGAATAGTTCCAACGACTCTCCGGCGTCAAAGTAGCTGGCATGTGATGCCCCCTTCCGGATCCATTCTCATAGTGGCGTCCACCTCCACTACGATCAAGTTTCTTCCCCCTGCTATCACAATTTGGGGTACTCTGTGGGGTTGGATAATAGCTTTGAGGCTCGTTACGAGTTTTCCATTCTCTCAGCCTAATGTAGCGCTCAACAAGCCCCGGCGTTATTGCCTATGACCGGTCAGTGTTCACCCTTCTAATAAGGACCCAAAACACATACCATGCCATCCGCAGTATAAGTCAGCTCAGGTGTATCTTCTTCATCCTTGATACAATCACCCGGCGGCTCCAAACCATATCTCTGATAATCCCCAGAGCGCGCGAGTAGAATACCTAGGTCTTTGCTTGCAACACCCTCACTCCATATAGAGCCTGTGTACATGTCGTGAAATACTGCAGGGTCAGGCATTTCAACTTCGCCCACATCAGAGAAATCGAAAACCGGACCTGGATCAAGTGTAGTGATATCCACTCTCTTGCGAAGGGCCTTGGTGACCCCCATTTCGACAGTTTCGAGGGCAGCTGGCTCGGCTTCAGTACCTTCAACTTCTTTGGTGGACTCGACTCGTTGATCAGAGATGTCTGGAGTAGCTGCACTACTCTCACTGCCATTACCACTTCCATCATCTCTCGTAAAGTCGCCGCTAAACCCGGAAAAATTTGCGCTTTCAGGTTTTCCCGCTTCCTCCTGTTCGTCTCCGCCACATGAAACATGGGTAGTCATGTCTTCCAACCCAGTAGCTCCAATGCTTCCGGTGATTACCTTGATCCCATCTTCGGACGTGGTGGTTTCCTCGGTGGCGGCCTCGACGATAACCTTCTCCTCGAAAACATCCGCCGTAGAGCTCTCCACAGATATATTCACGTTCATAGGATGGGCATCAACGGATCGCTCACCTTGCTCATCCACAACTTTTGGAATCTTGCAAGTAATACCCTCGACTTTCTCGACCTCGTTATCAACCCCATTAGTAGGTGTATTCACGAGCGTAGTGCTAAGCGAGTCCTTAACGTCATTAACATTGAACCCCATAAGCATATTGTCCAGACTTTCGATAAGGATAGCAGGTGCTGTGGTTTCCAAGGATGGTGGAGATTCCTTCACGCCAACAGACTCTGGCTTTATAACGGGGGGTACGGGGAGAACTGGTGGAAGAGGGCCGGTGCCATGCTTGTCAGATTTGATTGACTTCAACCACTCGTCAATGTCGGGATTTCTGATAAGATCGGGTACATGCCGTTTGCAGAAACGAGCATTGCCGAAACACATTTTAGCGATAGTAAGCTGGTTTGGTGTGTAAAAGGAAAAGAAATGATAAGAGGTGATTTTTGGATTAAGGAGGGAAGGGTGGTAAATAATAGTAGTGTAGAACGAGTGACTCTAAGGTTAGTAATTTGGGTGGAGGAGGGAAGAAGAGAAGGAAGAAGAGGGAGGGAGTGGGAGTGGGAGTGGGCAAGGGCTTTATCCTACAACGTAGGATATAACAGAGGAAATAATAGTGTATCCCCAGGTGCCACGTATTATGTTTGACGAAGAAAGGTAATAAACATTTGTCATTATGTACATCAAAACTACTCGGACACCTTCTCTGATTGCGTATGCTCTCGGTAGATATTGGTGGCATGCTCTGGCTCTGGTGTATTCGTCGCCTATTGTCTTTAGTACATCATTTTCACACAGGAAAAGAACCTGCCTACCCATATCCGATCAATGAATAGCTCAAAAGGTCCCGGAATTCGATCAATCAATCCAATACCGACAGTCTTAACCTTCTGTCTCAATATCTCATTCTGGGGCTCAACAACCTGTCCAAAGTTCGTCCTTACGAACTCCGAGAAAGGAATCTACGTATTTCATCAGCCCAGACCTCCAATATACGGTGAGCGGTGAAGAAACTAGCGGCCTCACATGTATGGTCTCCCATTCCCCAACCCTCTTAGCGAACAATCTATGCTGATGAATATCTGTCTCAACTATCGAATCGGTCTGTATATTGACAAAATATTTGCTTCCATCGCTCTTAATCCTCAGTGCCAAATAAGTATAAGGGTCGCAATCCCAATTCTGTCGCCCAAATAGCGTCCTTCCCCTTTCCTGCGTTCTCCAAGCGGCATATCCAGACCGTTGAATTTTTGGTCGTTCAGTGGGCAACTCAATTGATATATTTCCATGGAACCTTCCATAGTATTGGTCCTCTAATGGGTTGCCCGGCGGGAATGGCATTAGATCCACGTGAACTTTACTGAAACCTCCGGTGTCCCCATCGGAAAAGACTTTGATGCTATTGAGAGAATCTGGGTGGCGGAAAGAGTGGACTTCCATGTCGGCAAAGTCACCAGTTATGCCTTCGCCTCTGAAAACTACAATTGATCATGTTAGGGATTGTAAACGGTAGGATGGAGGGGAATTTGCAAAGAAGCTACCGCTGAGAGTATTGCGCTTCATCTCCTCTATGCTTCGCTGCAGGAAGCCACCTCGAAGGAGACGCAGTGCTGGACGCATCGTGGTTTATCGGTTTTATTCGAGGTTTGCTCTGTTGTGAAGCACTATATGGTAGTCTTGAGCAAGTAGAAGTTAAGGTTGAGATTGAGTTGAGGCTCCGTTTTCCAACGTCACCGTTTCGCTTAAGCCTCGTGATTGATTACCGGCAGATGCACTATGATACCATACTGGACCGATTATTATATCCAATTGTTGCTTCCCGCTGCTGATCACGGGCAAAAAAATATTATTTAAGCACGCGTGTACACAATTCCGCCTCAATAACTGGCCCTTGATTGGTATCTAATCCACTTTATTTATTTTATGTTTTTGTTTTCTTTGTTTTAGCTAACTACCGTAGTCTACAACTTTTCGCACACCCCCAATCTTTCAAGTCTCCTTCCACTCGCTACCAGTAAGAAGCTCATAAGCTTCGTGATATTTCTTGCTCGTTTCAAGTATAATTTCGTCAGGCATCACAATACCCGGTCTACCCTTCACACCATTCTTAGTCAACCAGTCCCTGAGAAATTGCTTGTCGTAGGAGTCCTGACTTCTTCCAGTCTGGTAGGTTGAGGCAAGCCAAAACCGAGAAGAATCTATTCCACCATTAGCGCATGCATAACCAATGGAGCTGGGTACTGAGAAACCAACCCGGGGTTAGAATCTCGTCAACAAGAACAACGTTTTTGTCCTCGTCAAGACCAAATTCAAACTTCGTATCGGCAATAATAATGCCTCTCTCGACAGCGTAGTCACGAGCCCTAGTATACAAAGCAAGAGAGAGTTCCTCAATCTTCTTTGTATATTCATGGCCAACAAGTTGAACGACCTTATCAGGATGGATATTCTCGTCTGCCAATAGTGTCAAGTTAGTATTCAGTGCGCCTGTGTTTGTCTTAATTTCAATAAACAAGATGGAAGGAAATTACCGTGTTGGCCCTGAGCAGCCTTGGTGCTAGGGGTGAACAATGGCTTCTCAAAAGCCTGACTCTCCACCATTCCTTCGGGAACCTGAATTCCGTGAACAGTCCCAGACTTCTTATACTCAACCCAAGCGCTGCCGGTAAGGTATCCTCTAACAATGGCTTCAACCGGAAAGACCTGGAGTTTTTTAACGACCATGGAGCGGCCCTTAAGTTGCGCGGAATACTTCTGAAGTTTC